TGTCATTGGTTCAAATATTTCCAATTCCAATTCCAATTCTGAGTCTTTCGACATCGTAATCGTAAGAAAAAAATCAAAAACTTTCTGATCCTTCAAATTCCGATTCTGTCGCCTTTCTGTATGCTTTCGATTCCCGCTCCGATTATTTCAGTTCACACCCGATTGGTCATATAACTCCTTTTATGGTTCCGATTCCGACGCTAATGTAAACTAGTCTTAAAAGAAAACCTTCCGAGCCTTCGTATTCCGCATCTGACTTTGGCAACTCCGACTTGTTGGTTTTCTAAGTTTCCATTTTACCAACCTGCTTTCGGCTTTGATCCCGAATTCGAATCCGATTCTAATTTTGTTGCAATGGAATATCATTTTACGTTTTATTCATTTTTATTTATATATTTTTTAATCGATTTAGTTCTTTATTTATTTTTGAAAGATTTTATCTATTCTATTTCATTTTCTATAAATTTAATCAAATTTATTTAGTACCTACATTACAATTTTTTCACAGAAAGTAAAATCAAAGTTGGTCACTTTTGTTGAAACATGAAACAACCTATGGACTGATCATATCAGGACACGGCAAGGCTGGCATATCGAACCCTAAGACAATCTCTGGGCAAAAATATCTCACAGATTATGCAAAGTCAGGGCAGAGATATCTCACAGTTTGAATTTTAGTAAGTTGGGTGTTGCAGAAGAAAGAAAATCTGGGAATCCAGAGAAAACCATCAACGACAGCTAAGATACTCTTCTCAAGAGTGATGCCCAATTCTGGAATCGATAACTAGTCGACTCCAGAGATTAGAACTAAGAAGTGAGTTAACCATTACTAAACCATTCTTTATTATTTTAAGTCTTCCCTTACCTCATGATTAATATTAACTATTAACTACAGTTACCTTGAAATCCTGAAATTTTACAAATTTGCAGCTTAAAAACTCCCCACTCTTTTCAGCTTCCGTTTCACAACATGGAATTAAAAACACGAGAGGTTTGTGTCATTCACTTTAAGCTGGAGAAAGATGCTACGAAAAAACATAAGCATGAGATGATTAAATAGCCAATGTTTTCTTTTCTTTTTGATGAGTAATTACTTCAAAGTGACATGTCAACACTTCTGAAAAATATTAATTATTGATGAATTCAGCTGGATTGTGAAATAAATACATTTGCAATGTCATCGTAAAAACTATACTTTACGTTTAGCTTTAAAAGTTATTTCACAAATAAAATTGGACTTACTTTAAGTCTAAGTAGACCGAGTGATTAATACTAATCCCTTGAGGTTTTGCAAAAGAGGTATTGCTGCTGCTACCCGTTTGATTGTTTAATATTAAAAAAGAAAGAAAAAGAAAAAGAAAAAGAAAAAAGAAATGAATAATAAAACAAAAAGTTAGAAGCACAGATCAGATTTCAGGAAAGGAACTTATATTATTTGAAGAAATTTACCCAATAGTGAGTGGTTGAAGCGTTTTCCAAATAATTTTGTCRCTGTCCAGTGCCTATCAACTATTTCATTATTCTATCATTCAATCTCGTCTTTCACTGCTATTTCTTATTCAAATTCGTGTAGTAACTTGCCAAACTTGTCATAATTTTCGGGCTTTGCACTTATTTATTCAATAACGAAAACAAACAATACAGGTCCCAGTGATATATCATGTTAATACTGCATTGAATTTGATTGGATGTTTCCTGAAAGTCTACTGAATTATGTGTTTTGATGTGTAAATATGAGAGTAAACAAAATGACATGGTTGGAATGATCTTATCTTCCTTGGTAAATTTTAATGTTTTAGTCCAATATGGTTAACGTTATAGATGAATAAAGTCAAAAAATCTTGAAAAATCCAAATTTAGACTGAATTTCTCGTATTATTATGATAGTCGTCACTGTTATTACTATTATTATTGTTGTTATCATTATCATTATCATTATTATTACTATTATTATTATTATTATTATTATTATTATTATTATGATTTTCATTACCTTTACTCAACATATCAAAGATACCGTCAATTACCGTCAATTTGGCTTCTCCTTCCATCTACTTAATACTCCCTTTCCCTGGTTCCAATAGTCCCCTTCACAGTTCCCTGCGGCATATTGAAAGGTAGCCGTGCCTTTGCAATTGCAATGATAGAGACCTTTTTAACACCTTGGACAATTATTCACATGTCTCTATCATTGTAAGCTCACTGTTCGTCTCACTTTGATGTAAAGGCACGGCTACCTTTCAAGATGGCTCAGGGAACTGTGAAGGAGACTATTCTTTGGTGCGGCTGCTGTTATTAGCACTCATCTTTTATGCAGCACATTATTTAGCATCAAAAAAGTTGTTAACAATCTCCATCCACTAATAATCGACGATTGTCTCGTTCCCTGTGTCAAAAATRGAGAAAGCTATAAATACCTGGGACGTATCTCTGACTTTCAAATGCAGTCCATAATGAAACCCATAAGAACAAACTGAGTAGCCTTGTAGATGATTTGATGACAGACATTGATGATAAACCACTTCATCCTTAACAAATACGCTTGCGCACTACACAAGATTTGTTGACTCACATAAATGACATTGCCAAAGTGACCTACTGCGAGCAGGTAAAACCTGTTTTGTTTTCTTGCCAACGGACGTAGACGTGACTGCCTGTTGCAGTTGAGTTTTGTCAATGATCTTATCATGTTGACTTGATTGTGGTAGCTTGTTGGTCGTACAGCTGACTTCTATTCACTGGTTACTATGCTAGGAAAGATCTGTATCGCTTGATCTGTGGAGTCAGTTCCACGAAATATGGAAAACCGTTTATTCTTACATTCCTCTCAGATCATTATTACAAACAAATTTTAAGCATTTAAAAAATAATGGTTTGTAAAATGGAAAATACAACTTGAAAAAAAGTAAAAGCCTCATCTCAACACGATGGAATTCGAACCCACGTCCATGAATAATTATTTCAAAATACTAGTGCCTTCATGCCATACCCCGAGACATCCGCTGGGTTGTCGTATGGACTTCGGGCATGACGGAATCGCACAGAATTGCATGCCCATCAATTCTGGTCATTTCCAAATGAGGGATATTATGTGAAGAATGGGGATACATTTTTTAAAGAAACACTGTAATATCTTCATACTATTAAAAGARTTTGAAAAAAAGTTGGAATAAACGATTTAAAATATTTTTAAAGCAAAATTTGCGGGCATTTTCTCCAAATTAATTACCAGTCTTCACTCGGACAGCTTCTCAAACCAGTAACAAAATATATGCTGAGGTCGTGAGCAAATATGTCCGTTTTAAATTGAGATCTGGAGACGAAATTATGGATATTGAACAATATAGAGGCCAGGTTTCTATGGCTATACAATGGCGGTAGAAGAATGATTGTATTATAAAAGCACTGGAAAGTCGTCATTTTGGATTGTTTTGCTTTGTTGGGTCAAAGTTAAAACTCCTGAAAAATCACTACTTGCTTTCAGCTTCAAAGAGAGCTGAATCTTGGAAGCAAATAAGCAATGGTTGGACAACCAATTTCAGTTGTTACTTTGAATGATTTTCTTCACGACGAAGAGTGTTCTAGCCGAAGCATCAGGGGAGAGACTAGGCGGCCCCCACACCATATCTACAGCTAATCCCTTGCACTCTGCCACGCACTGGCACGTTGATGTGAAGTGGAAAATAATCTAGACTATCTGGTGCTTTGTTTTCACGGCTGTTGTTGTGCTAATTTCTTGAAACCGTGTCCCAGTGGAAAAAATTTGGAGTTCGACGACACTGGGTCAAGCCCTGTTGAGCGAGTTTAGTATCTGGACAGGTGACCTAAAACTTGTACCTACTCAAGCCTTTAAAAAAAAATTTCATTTTTCTTTTTTCATTTTCCTTTGTTGTCGATTTCGTTTTAAAGTTTTAAGAGTAGATCAGTATAGGGCTTCGATTTTCTTTTTCTTCTTTTTCCGCTTTAGGATTCCCTGTATTAACAGACGAGTAGAGGGGACTGGAAATAAGTCGAGAAAGGAGAAAAGAGTTAGAATTAATCTTGGGGTGCATGTTACGTCATAGTCGTCATGTTAGTGGACGATAACAAATCATTCCTTATTAACTTCTCTTGTTAGATCAACCAACATGGCGGCTGTTTCTTTGTTATTTATATCTCAAGAAATTTTGAGTCCACTTGTGGTTGCTCCCCAACAATATTGACATGCCAAAGCTGAACTGCGCACTCTGTCTGGCGCATGACAGAAACACTCCAGGGGAAGGTGACTAATGAGCAATATGAACATGTGCTTGGTAAGTAGGATAGTTGATTCCCAAATAAAAGATTCCAGTGTTGCCTTAACATTGGGCAGCTCACAAAGGTAGATTCAATAACCACGCCCTTGAATTGGGCCTAAGCTAAAAAGGTCTATTTCATGAATGTTTTCCAAAGTTTTTATATGTTAAACCTCTTTAGGTTGCTGAAATGTTTTCCTATCTCAGACCACGTGTCATTCCCTAGAGTATCATTCCTTTGTTTAACGGTTGCGCATGAGAATACACATGAATATCGATGCAATTCAAACAAAGAATCTTATTCTCCAGAGAATGACACATGGTCGCGTCGAGAAATGGGAAAACATTACATCCAAACTAAAAAGGGATATTCTTGCCTCAGTCGCGGAGTAAATCATATTCATATTCTGGGGAAATTTTCTACTAAATCAGTAACTATTAGGCAAAGACTTGTCTCTAGCAGCTTTACTAACAAAGTCAAGACGCGTGGTAAATAACGAGTGTATGGAACCACACGCTCTGTCCAGCTGAATCGACATTTTTTCTTCGGCACCCTATCACGGTATAGAAAAGAATCTTGCTGTCCGGGGAAAGAGACGCTTGGTTTTCTTATTCATCCTTTACCTTTTGTGCAAAATGATCGAATTGAAAAACAGATGGAGAGTTTTTATGTCTATGATATTGAAACATCTTTATACTTATTGACACTGGTGTTGATGGTGAGATAAAACAATTCATATTGAAGAACACGTTTTTCAAGCACGGAGAGGCTGAGATCTGGATGAGAGATGGAGTTCATGTTTTTCTTTGTGCTGTTGGTAGCCCTTGGAGCTCATGCTGAGCAATTGTAAGTATTGGCCACCTAAAAGATTACTAAAAGTAAAGAATTCGATCTCATTGTAGAGTTTAAAAAGTTGTCCTTTTTGCCCTTGCGTTCAAACAGCAAATTAGCACAATTTTGGAATGAGTCTTCCTTCCTTCGCAAAACCTTATACACTAAATTGGAATTGGATCTGTGAGCTAGCCGTGCCCTGACTTTGATCGAACCAGAGGCATTTCATAGTATCGATAACATTTGAAAGCTGGTTTGATGTTTTTTTTCTCTCTCTCTCTCTCTCTTTCTCTTTTGCCACACCGTCTAGGGTGTGTTTCTGGTTTCTACTCTGATATATACAGTCAAAAATGGATATTTTTGATTTCCAAGTGTTTTGAAATTTGAAAATTTTAATTGCAAATTGAGGTTGCCTAACACTCTCTGAACTGTTCGTTCAGTTTATTAGCCTTGCCTTCGTTTATCAAAGAAAACTAAATGAAATGAGCACATAGTGCATTGGTCATCGACTGAATTCAATCAAAATTTATGAGTTTATTTTATTGTTATAAATATATATATAAGAAAAACTGGAGAAACCGGTGGAGAAAGGCCCACGAAGCAAAGGAGAGAATCAAAAAGCAAATTTACTCGAGGATGACAGATTTTAATCAGGAGCACGGGTGGCGATACGACCCGAGTTCGAGTCCCGCTCGCGGTGCTACCCTCGTAAAACAGACTTGTTTCACGTAACTGGAATTATTGGTGTCTTTTATGTATTTGTATCATCAACTAGGGGTCGTGTAATACGAGCGTATCCAGCTAGCGATGGTCAGGTCAATTATCTCAATAATCTAGCCGACAACAACGTAAGTAAAAGCGTTAATAAATTTAAAAACAAACCAACAAACCAACAAACCAACAAACCAACAAACCAACAAACCAACAAACCAACAAGCAAACAAAAATAAAAGAAAAATGTTTATTTGTAGAACCTTGGTCTGGACTTCTGGACACACCCCTCTCATCCTGGCAAACCCGTGGACATCCGCGTAGCCCATGACAACCATGATCAGCTGACCAAGCTACTGAAGTCTCAAGCTATTGATTTCATCATACAAATCCCCGACGTTGATGTGGCTAAAGCAATGCAAAATCCAGCGGGGTCTTCTAGAGCTGGTGTTTTCGACTATTTTCGCTACAACACTCTTGACCAGGTATGTTGTGTATAACAAAGGGCGCTCTCACCATATAAATGGCTGGTGAAGAGGAATAGCAATATTATTGCTTCTACGCAAAGCGCTCTCTGACAAATTTCAAAATCTATCAGAAAAAAAAAACTGATAAAACAACGTCAAAAATATTGGTATAAATACATTTTTAATAAATCTAAATTTTGAAATGAAAATAAACCTAAATTTTTAGAAAAACAACAAAATGTGAGCGATAATTGACAGTGTTCTTTCCCTTCTTTGTCATGAAGATTGTGGCTGAGATGGGACGCCTAGTGCAAACTCGACCTAACATCGCATCCATGTTCAGTGTTGGAACATCTTACCAAGGAAGACAGATGAACGCAATCAAGGTAGATACATATATCAGACAACCTTAACTGCCCCCAAGCATACAGCAATGAATACAGCCAATAACACACAACCTTAACTGCCCCCAAGCATACAGTAATGAATATAACCAATAAAATTGGTTTTGTTTGTGATCATCAGCTCAGTTCTGGAGCAGGCAAGAAGACTCTCTTCATGAACTGTGGTATTCATGCTCGTGAGTGGATCACCCCGGCAACCTGTATGTATATGCTGAATCAGGTAAATATGGACCTCTAATGAACCAATGCGTATGTGTGTAAAATTGCTGATACAGGTAAATATGGCCSTGTTAACCAATGCGCATGTGCGTAAGAATGCTGAATCAGCTAAATATGCCCTCCCCACAAGCCAACGCGCTATTCTTTCTTGTTTCTTTTGTCGTGTGAATTCGTAACGCGCCTTTCAACATTTTAAAACTAGGGAACCTTTGGTCCTCAACAAACCACTTTCACATTTCTTATGCATTCGTTGTATATTTGATTGTGTGTTTTAGATTATCACTAAGTATGGGTCAGATAGCAGTATAACAGCAATGCTTAATAAACTGGACATCGTCATCATGCCTGTACTGAATGTAGATGGTTACGTGTACACATGGACTTCGGTAAGCACATTTAGCCGGCCAGAGATCGAGTAATACCATGAAGCAATTTTAAAGACGTGTCTGCATGTGCTCACTGCACTAAATGTTTATAAAATTATCCTCCCTTACRGACCAAATTGTATTTATTTATTGTTTTTATTATTTTTTGGTTAATGTGCCTAACGTGATCAAAATATTGTAGCGATGATGATAGTGGTTGTGATAAATACTTGTAGTTGATGAAGATGTTGGCGATGGTGATGGCAGTGATGACGGTAGTGTTAGGATAATGTTGCTGTAGGTGATGGCAGTGATGACGGTAGTGTTAGGATAATGTTGCTGTAGGTGACGGTGACGGTGACGGTGACGGTGACGGTGACGGTGACGGTGATGGTGACGGTGACGGTGACGGTGACGGTGACGGTGACGGTGACGGTGACGGTGACGGTGACGGTGACGGTGACGGTGACGGTGACGGTGACGGTGATCAGCGTGGTCACGATGATACTGGTGGTGATAAAGACAACAAACTAAAATTTAAATAAGAGTAATTTCTTAATTCAATTGATATTTAATGTGAATGCTTTCCTGTCAAACGGTAATAAATTGATTTGGTTACAGATCGTCAAATAATACTTCATGTTCTCTTGGTTCCATGGATGAACTGATATGCCACAACGATRCATAAACTCAATTATTATAAATTTTACTCACGTGCAATATATTAATTCTGATTGCATGAAGACTTACGGACAACTTTCAATAGCTTGCGAACTCGACAGAATAAATTTATTATCCGCAAAAAAATACAGATAAAAGATTTATCTTGTCAAGGTCACCGCGCGTGGTAGCGTTGCCACTTGAATCGAGATGTCTTCGACACGGTTTGCTTCCGTCTCTGAAGAAAAGAATCGTCATTTTGTAGCTTTCTTAATCGTATAAAATGTATGATATAAAATATTGTTGATCTAGACGAGTTTTCTTGTTAGGATCGCATGTGGCGTAAGACAAGGTCTCCCCAAGGCAACGGTTGCTATGGAGCTGACCCAAACAGAAACTTTAATGCCAAATGGGCAGGTAAAGACTATTAAGTTAGCTAACGTAATGGACTAATTCGATGATACGACGGCCATCTTGTCAGGGAGCAAAACAAAACAAAGATGATGGAATATAAATAGAGTTTCGTGTGTTTGTCTTTCTTTTATGGGTAAAGGTGTAAAAGTGCCATCTTAATTCAACTTTTGTTGTATTGTTGTGGAGAGCTGTTAATATCAATCAACATCATTACTGTAACAAAGCTTTATTGCCCCCTGGATATCGCCACATAATGCATTGTAATCCAAGATGGCCGCCGTATCTTCGAAGAAGTCCATTCATTATCAAATGAATAACCGTAATTTCTTTGCATTCATTATCCCCCTAAAGGACCTGGCACAAGCAGCAATCCATGCAGAGACACTTACCATGGGTCGAGACCTTTCTCTGAAATAGAAACACGAAACGTTGCACATTATTTGTATGGCATCAGGTCAAAGCTCGTAGGGTACCTGGATATCCATGCTTACAGTCAGTTATGGATGACCCCATGGGGGCATGCTAGAGGCGCCTATCCACCAACCTACCAAGAGATGGTAAGACAGTTAACAATGAGTATCACCGTCTGAACGTCTATGACACACTCGTGAAGACTCTTGTATACCAGTACTAGAACATACAATCTGACTCGTGGGATGGTATCCCATGGACGTGCCCCTCAAATCCATTGTATAACTAGAACATACAATCTGACTCGTGGGATGATATCCCATGGAC